CGTGACGGGGAGGTGATGGCAGACGTAGTGGGTTGGTGAGATGTAGGATTTAGAACGATCTGTAGCCACGAGTTGAAAGGAGGGGGGTTTCACGTTGTGTGGGAGTGGAGGATTTAGTCGAGAGGTACAGATGATGCCAGAAGTAGTGAGTTTGTGAGATGAGGGATTTGGTGCGATCTGCAGCCACGAGTTGTAAGAAGGAGCCACGATGTGTGAGAGTCAAGGATCTAGCCGAAATGGAGAGGTGATGGCAGACATTGTGGGTGGGTTGGGAGGATGTGGGATTTAATGCGATCTGTAGCCACGCGCAGTGATCGAGGTTGGCATAAAGTGTGCGAGTAGATGACCCAGCGGAATCAATGTAGAGATGGGTACCGTATAGGATGACTAACCACACCCAACCATTCCGTACGCTGGCTATCTCTTCGTTGATTATTTAGTGCGGTCTGCAGCCACGCAAGGAGGTGAAGGAGAAATGTGGTGTCTACGCTAGAATCTAGCGTAGTTGGAGCGTAGATTGTGAGCGTAGTAAGATGGTTCGATAGAAGATTTAGTTCAATCTCAAGTTACCACACACATTGGCAGGGGGGTTATGGAGTGAAGGGTAGGCAATTTGTGGACGGAGAGTGACCAAGACTCGTGGGACAGGACCAATGTAGAAGATCGGGAGATTTAGGGCGATCTGTAGATATGCGCAAAGGGAGAAAGAGATGAGGGAGACGAAGTGTGGGAGATAAATATCTAACCAAGACGAAGCAGAGATAGTAGTACTGAACCGGAATGAAAATTTAATGCCGCCTGCAACCACCCAGGGAGGCGGAAGGTTGTACGACCCCCTCAGCATGCGAATAGAGAATGATACAAATGATGGAAGCAGCGGAGTTAGAGACATGGAGAATTTATTGAGAAATGTAAGTATCGGTCAAATGATCTAATAATGTAATTTTAGAAATGTGAAGGACAAGAGATTCTTACGAAAAACCATTTGTAACAGGAACGCAAGTCTTTGTACACATTTTCAGACATAACCAATTATTAAGAACAATTAGGACTGCAAAAGAGAAAAATAATTTTGTTCTACAACGAATATTGTAGAACAACTTCAAAACGAAACACTTCAGAAAGATACAGAGATAAAGAGGAAAGCGGAGGACAGAATGTCATGGCGGCAGCGACAATGCGCTTGTCGCTGCCGAGGCACGGCAACGTTCTGTGAAGACTGCTACGCTCAACAAAACGCTGCTACAGGTGGCATTCGGCGTGAAGTACTGCTATGAGATTACGCTGGATTAGAAGAATTGGAATCTGCAGATCGAAGGCGGTAGTACTAGTTTAATGTGACGTTAACACGTGACTACGTTTAATGTGACGATGGCAGGAAGAAACGAAATGGCGCCAGACTATCGTTTCTTTTTCCTCTGCGCAAAGAGTGAGCGAATTGGCGGTGAGTAATCTGATTTGTCAATGGTCAAGACAACTGATGTGCAAATTGGTACGTTATCTGATGAGGGCGTAAAAATGAGATAATTAGTGGAAGAGAGATTCACAGAATCGAAAGACGTGATAGCAAGCAGATGTGAACGTAGAAGAGCAATAAAATGAGATAACAGGCGAAAAATTGATTCAGACAGCAGGATAACAAAATAATGGACTCTAATGATGTAAGAAGTAGGGTAAAGCAGAGGATAATACGGAAGAACAACATCAATGTAAGGGCAAGGGAACTACAGGATGTAAGAGAAAAGGAAAAAACAGGATATGATATCAAGATATCAAAAGTAAGGTAGTCAGGAAAAGTATAGAAAACAATAGAGGAGAAAAAGACGACATAACAGAAAAATAAGAATAGGGTGGAGGTTGGGAGAGCAAAAGAATAAAAGAAAAAACAAAGAGACGGGAGGATGGGAGAACGAGAGAGTAGAGCGGAAGACGAGAAGGAACCCTCAGTTCAGAGAGCGGGTAGAAGGGTGGGTCGACGGTCGGTTTGGGGGACGAGCGCGTGGCGATTGTTTTGCTTTACGACAGCCTCGTCTCCGCCACCGCCGCCACCGCCACCACCGCCGTCACCACCGCCGCCCACTGCTGCCAACATCTTGCTGTCG